AGCTTGCAATTTTGAATGTGTAAGTAGTATGTGCTGAGCAGGATCTTGCCACCTTGTAAAAGCAAATATGTTAATAAAGATTTGAATACTGTATAGGCAACTAAGAAGTAAACCTCTTGGAAAGGAAATCAGAGGGCATTCAAGTTAGTTTGTGGTCATCAGCAGGGCCTGATAAGGCCAATGTTGTAAAACCACAGCATTTTCTTCTTCTTTCTAGACAGACTTTCTTTCTGTTGCTACCAGGTTATATTATGTGCAGTGTCATCAGCAGGGCCTGATAAGGCCAATGTTGTAAAACCACAGCATTTTCTTCTTCTTTCTAGACAGACTCTTTCTGTTGCTACCAGGTTATATGATGTGCAGTTTAAAATATACTGCTAAGTGCTCTCCAGCAACCCACACTTTCCCTCCCCTAGAAAAATAAATCTGGAGTCGGCCAAGCAACTCTTTTAGTCTTCAACAATTTTCATTTTATTCTACAAATTCTGATTTCTTTAAACTTAAATTCAAGCATTTGAGTTGGTCTAATAAAAGAGATTGGATTTGCCCAAAGAACCCTGGCTGCCTGATTCAAGCAGACACATGTACATGTACTCAAACACAAGAACAGCCCCATTGGCTTTAAGAGAACTGCTTAGTTTGATCAAGCACGTGTATGTTTGATTTAAACTTCTATTTTTTTCCTCATAAGAAGAAAAGGTAAACAGCATATTAATGCATTGCTGCCCCGTTAATGTAGCCATAGGAAAAATATAACTCAATTCAAGCAAATAGAGTGGACCAGCCACAAGTACAAAGTAGTTTAACCAGTGAACTGGTTAAAAATATGATTCCACTCAAGTCAACATGTTCTCTCATCTAAGTTCAAGTAAAGTGAACTTGGAAGCTTAATTAGGACCTCATGAACACTAATATTAAGCAAAGAAATTTCTATTTACCATTAAACAGCTGTGTACATATGAAAAAGGCAACAGACTTATTACCTACTCTGCATCAATGTGAAGGTTTAAAGATTAAAATCAAACACAAGACAGAAGTTTAATACTCAACAGTAACTTAACTTTGCCCAGATTACACATATATATATGTTTTATTGGATAAATTGAATAAATAGGTATGTCTTCCTTTGGCCTTAAATCCAGGTTGTGTTAGAGAAAACAAACTAAGCTGTTTAAAAGAATGGCTCATGTACAATTAGTAATGGCCAGCTAAACCATATTATTACTTAGATTTAAACATTTTTGGGTGCAAACAGCAAGAGACTTTGCAGCTGTGTGCTGGTGCATGGGGACAGGAAAGTAAAATTATTCTATACTATTTCATTATCAAAGCACAGCAGAGTACAAAATAGGCATTGGACAGATTCAGTATTGTTCTTAGCTTTTCCACAGGTAATAATTAGAAGGTAGCAGCTACTACCCTTTGATTCCAACTTAATGCAGGTCCATCCCCTTATATTTCTCTTTTCCATGTCCAAGTGTTGCTGTTCTACTTGGCACAAGGGTCTGTCATGCCAGGAATAAGGCATCTTTGCAAATGAATGTATATCCAACAAAAATCAAAAGCTTTCTTCTGCTACAAATAACAGAAACAAAATTTGTTTCAGCCAAAGCACAAACTGACAATATAACCCATGAGCCTGATTACCCATGGCATAACACCTTGTGCAATAATTAAGACTTTGATGTTCAAAGGTACCATTTGGAATCAATGGTGGTTAGATGCTCAAGTACTTTTAAAAACCTGGTTCTAATACTGACTAAAGTGGGTGTTAAGAGCTACCTCATTACAATTCTCCTCTCACTTTCATTGTTTCAATGGCTCTGCAAGGTAATGAAGATCTGACCCAGAGCTTGCAGCTTCAAGCCTTTATGTTAAACAGCACAGATGAACTCCAGCGTTTGAGTGCTCCATTTAGCCACCATGGCTGCTTGTTAACATTCATCCTCCATACACTAGTTAATCTGAAGAAGCCAAAATGGGATCATGGAGGAATCTAATTTGTTGAAATGCTAGGACTAGCTATGACAAGGTTCCTTGGGTTAATTTGATATCTTTTATTAGACCAACCCAAATGGTTGGAGAATAGTTATTAAGAAAGCTTTCGGGTTCAAAAACCCTTCGTCAGGCTCAGGAAGCTGCAGCAGTGGGTGTGTGTTCTTCCTGGATGGGATTAAAAGTAAAGAAGCCAGGGGCTGGGCTGGGCTGGGGAGTCAGTTGCCAGGCAGATTATAATGTATCAAAAATCCAATGTCTATGTTTAGTCCCTGATCTCTAGTATCCAGCAGGTTGATGAAATGGAGCTCATAGGCTCGTCTCTGGGA